ATTTTATAAATCATTTACAATAAAACAATGTATGTTGCAGTTTTTTCTCCAATCACACTCCTTTTCAGGAAAATTTTAGAGTACAATTTATATGTAAGTAAGAGGCTTTTATGCCTTCATTCTAGTTCATATTTTCCCCAAGAATACAAAATTAAAGGATAAAACAATCACTTTCATTCTAGTTCTTTTATACTTATATTCTTCCATTTTATAATCATGACTAGAGGGAAGCCAATGAAAAGGCATTTCTAAAATATTTTCAAAATCCATTATTGTTTAAAAATTGAAACTTTATAAGTCAATGATGAAAGCATTTCTTTGAAATTTTACAGGCTTTGTGTCTGACCACAAGCAGTGACCTCTGGTATATTCTGCCAAAACACTTCATTTGTCTCACAGAACAACTAATCAATTCCAGAGCCCATCAATCACTTCAGTTGTATACTAGTCTGGTCTTGAGAGAAGGTCCAGATGGCTGCTTGTGTAAGTGGAATTAATAAAATTCTGATAGATTACATGGCATCAAACTACAAAATATAATAGGGAAGAACAAATCTTATTGCAGGGTGGGGTGGGTACTGTATCTTTGTTTACTGTATTTTTAATTCTTGCCCTAATTTCTCAATTTATGTGCCAACTTCTAGATCAAACCTTCTATGTATATAAGTCACCAAAAACGATTTCTTGCATATACAATGTAGAACCATTTGACTCTTTGCAAAGCCCTAGGCCTATTAACCACTGCTTTTTCTGCCCATCTGCAATATAAATGAAACACAGTTGACCTCAAAACTAGAGGTAACTCAAGATTTTCCCATTCTTTTTTCTATAGTTCCAAACACAGATCTAATAGCATTAGCTCTCCCTTTCATGTTTCCCATTTTGTTTTGCAAATGCAAACAACTTGTGCCTAATCATATAGCCAGAACGACAGGAATTTTATCTCCTAACATCAGCCCTTTGCTCTTGGTCTCCTTTGTAGGGACTCTTTATCCTGAGTAATAATACTAATAAAAGCTAACAGTTATACAGTAACTCATCTTATGCCAGATACTGTCCTAAAATGCCTGTGTCCAGGTATTCATATAATTATGCTGAGTAACAATGCTAATAAAAGCTGAGTAACAATACTAATGAAAGCTGTTATATAGTAACTTATCTTATGCCAGATACTGTCCTAAAATGCCTGTGTGCAGGTATTCACATAATCCACATAAGTACCATGCGAGGCAGGTACTATAATTATCCCCATTTACAGATAAGTATCTTGCCCAAGATAATACAGCTAGTAAGTGGTAGAACCAGCATTTGAATGCCAGCAGTCTGGCTCCATACTTTTTGTTCTTAATTAGACCCACACTATATCCCCTCTATTATATTATAGAATAATTAACTAGCTTCAGAATGAGAAACTGGTGAATTGGTGTCAGGGCTCTGGGATATTAACACATAGATCTGTACCTGTGACATTATATTGTCACTTTCTATGACAGAGTAGAAATAAAGGTCAGAACCAAAAAGGCAGGAAGCAAGCTCAGAATTGGCCCCAGTGGCCCTTGGCTCAAGAATATTTATGTTAAAACTAAAATGGGCTCTTAACTTATCATCTATAATACACATTAGTCAGAAAACCTGCCACAACATGGAACCCCATGCCTAATCAAGTGGAATTACTGTTATTGATTTTCCTGATCTTGACAAATGTGAAAAAAATTTGAAGTTTATATATTAAAGTCTCCAAAACAGACCTTAAAATACATTATTTTATGACCTCTTAAAAACAATGGTTCTATAGAAAAACTTTTTCCTTTCATCAAATTTACCATTTGATGTTTCTAAAACTCTAAAATCTAACATCACTTTCACCTCAGCCAAACATAATTCTGCCACAAAACTGCAATCAATTTAAGTACAACTTTCTCTTAGAAAAACATCAGGTATTATATTTCACCAAAGTACAAGGAAAATTTGATTACATAACTTCAAGAAATAACCTGTTTTCATTGTTCCAACTGCATTCTAATGCTTAAGAAACCATAGGGACTGCATCTGGTCCTTCACTGGAATAATCCAACGTTTCAGTACATAAGAATTTTTATTATGATCTAATTTGTTATAATGGAATTCTGTTACACTATAAAATGAATTCCCTCAATATAAGAATATAACTAGTTGCTGTGATTTCTGATCTGGTATGGTAGTGACAAAATTACTGTTTATAACAGTTAAAAGGCTTTCAATGGCTTGTTCAGATTCATGTTTCTTAACGTTCCATATCTTAACAATATGTTCAGAATATGATTTAGATGATATCATAAGAACACTAATACTTAAATGACTTAATGAATAAGGCCAAATCTAATTAGTTTTGCCCATAGCAAAGGTTCATATTTCACTCAAGTAATATTTATTAAACATACTTCCATGTAAATGCCCAAAGTATTAAAAATAATACTATTCAAAAACGAAGAAGATGGCCAGGCATGGTGGCTCACTCTTGTAATCCTAGCACTCTGGGAGGCCGAGGCAGGAGGATTGCTGGAGGCCAAGAGTTTGAGACCAGTCTGAGGAATGGCAAGACCTACAAAAAACAGAAAAATTAGCTGGGTACAGTGGCCCATGCCTACAGTCCCTGCTACACAGGCAGCTGAGGCAGGAGGATCATTGAGACCAGAAGTATGAGGCTAATTCTATATAAGTAAATTTCACTAAACTATCAGTTTTTGAGGGAAGCAGCTGTAGCTACCTCCCAAGTTCTGAGCACTTTTATTGGACACATGCTAAGATCTGGGACCTCCTCAGATAGTAAGAATGTAGAGATGGATAAAATATGATCCTTGCCCTCAAAAACTAAAAGTTTAGTGTAGGGGATAAAGTTTTTTAAAAATTATAATTCAATTTAGTATAATAAAATAAATTCTGTAACAAAAATATAAACAAAGACTATGGGAAAACAGAGAAGAAATGACTGCCTCCCCTTCTATTACCTAGTAAAATGACTACGAAGGTTTCCTGACTTGAACATTTAATAAATTTTGGTTAGTAGGGTTAAGGTTCTGAAATGCCATTTTTTAGAAGACTCTAAAGACAGAATATACAAATTAAGAACCCCAAAACACTTTCTGAATACATTAGAGTTGAAGGAAGGGTTAAATTCTGAAAATGGCTTTTAAATTATGCTTCCTCAAAACTTTTATGGGCTCCTCAGAGTTCTCAGAGTCCATCACAGGGATCAAAGTGGCTCATTTGATCAGAGTGGGATCAAATGTACTCTAGGCCAGTAGCAGCCTTAAATCTTTATTTCCCCCAAATCTCCATCAGCCTTCCCATCATACATAAACATCAAATCTAAGTGAAAATGGTGTGCTTGTTATGCAAATAGATTCAAGACAGGTCCCGGGGCATTAACTGACTACCCTGGTCAATAAGTGAAAACTAGGAGCATTTCAAGTTTTTAATTCACAGAGGTACCAATAACTTTCTTTTATAATGCTACCTGGAGTTCACGTTGCTATTTCTTTATGTGGTGAATAACATCAGTGAACTCTTTTCTGCAAGGGTGAAGTGTAAACTGTTGGTACAATATCCTCTTCATTCTAAGAAGATCAGTATTTCCCTTCAGTACATTTAGGAGATCCAAGTTTTTCACTTGAAAATTAGACCTCATTTAATTCATGCTAACAAATAAGTAAAGCAAATAAGTAAAGCAATGCTCAGATAACTCAAAAAGAGTAAGACATCAGAGATTTCTATTTTTTGTTTAGTTTGTAAAGTAACAATCTTAGAAGAATGTGTCATATGACTCTTTAAAGCGGGATAGAATCCCACACACATAGTGCTGAAAGAAAAAGATTATTTTACACAAAACTTAAGAGCTTTAAGTAATACAAAATGATCTTTAAACCCTTTGCACTCGCTTGCTTTTTTCTCATTATCCACACTCGACATCCGAGTGCAAAGGGTTAAATGTGGCAAAAATCACATAATATAAAATTTAGCCACCTACCCATTTATACAGCTCAGTAGTGTTAAGTATCTTCATACTGTTGTATAATTTCCAGAACTACTGCATCTTGCAAAACTTAAACTCTACCCCATTCCCTTCTCCTCACTCCTGGAAATCCCTGTTCTACTTTCTATTTCCATGAATTTGACTACTCTAGAAACCTCATATAAGTATACAGTATTAGTCTTTTTGTGACTGGCTCATTTTCTCAAGGTTCATGCATCTTGTGGCATATGTCAAAATTTCCTTCCTTTTTAAGGCTAGATAATATCCCATTGTATATACCACATTTCATTTATCCATTCATCCCTCAATGGACACTTTGATCGCATCCACCTCTTGGCTACTGTAAATAGGGCTGCTATTAATATGGGTGTGCAAATATGTTTTTGCAATCCTGCTTTCAAATCTTCTGGATACATATCCAGAAGTGGGATTGCTGGATAATATGGTAATTCTATTTTTAACTTTTTGAGGAAACTTTATACTGCTTTCCATAGTGGCTATACCATCTTACACTCCAAAATGACTTTTAATTTAGAGTAAATTAAAATCACTTTTAATTAAATTAAATTAATTATGAACATTAAAATCTTTAAAAGAAAGACTGGTATTTTGAGGAAAGTCAGATTTAGTTGGCAAGGCAAGCTTTTGTTTCTCATTAAAGATTGGGGTGGGCACTGAATCAGTGGGAGACACTGATTCAGACAGTTAATGATCAGACATTGATGAAAAGTAATTATTATCACTTATTAAGACACATCATCTGGTGCTGGTTCAGACATTTATTGATTTTAAAGGTTATACACCTAAAACATTCTTTCATGCCATTTATTATCCTACTAGAGGTATCACCAAATCAGTTTTGTGTTAAGAAATAGTGCTTCACAAATTGAAGATTTCAGGATTAAACATATATACACATATACAAGTACAAACATGCGCGCTTGCACACACACAGATTCCTATTATCTAAGAGCAGAAAAGAAATTACCTGATGGTTTCCTCATGATACAGAGAACTAACTACTGGCCCACCAAAACCAGAATTTGCTTCTTTTCCTTTCTTCTCTGGTATCTGTGGGGGTGGGGGAGGGGAAGGTAGAAAAAAAAGACATGGATTAAAGCAGTGTGTATTTAAAACAGTTACACAATATTACTTTGCTAAGAAATACTAAGGAGTTTACCATTTCTTCAAGCCCTGTTAACAATTTTAAAGTGATATAAGAAAGGCGATAGGATTCTCAGGTCATCACAGTAGTGGAATGGATATCCACTGGCAATCTAAGGTCATTCCAGCACCACCTTCTCAAGCCACCAAAAAGTGATTCCCCTAGTTGACTGTGAGATGATGTTTGATGTGGAAAATATGGATGTTCATGTGAAAAAATGAAATGAAATATAAATACCAGACATGAATGGGATCAGTAAAATCAAATATCGATTTATAAAATTAAAGTTCCCAAATATGAAATAAGCTAAATTATGGTAAAACTTCAAATTCAATCACAAAGAAAAATTTTAAAAATATTTTTAGGTAGAAAAAAGGAAGGGAGGGATAAGAAAGGAGGCTTACATCTAAAATAAAAGAAAAAAGAAGCAAACTGCTGTGGAAATGCCTTCCAAACTCAAGGATTCAATAGGCTTTGCCCCTATATATTCTCAAAAATACAAAAGATTAATTTAGAAATAAGATTCTTCTAAATATGTTATGTGGAAGCAAGGATCTTGGATACATATTTTCTGAAAGGATCAAACTGCAACCTCTGTAAAAGCCTACATCCTCTGGAATATTGGTTTTTAGACTAGGACATCCTATAAAAGTGAAAACTCTTGACTCTGAATATAAATATTATTTTAGAGTCAAAATTAAATTATTTTGTTGTTTAATTTCACTGCAAAATGCCTACTTTACTTCAAAAATTAAAGGCAATCCCCATATTTTTTTTCTTTAAAGAAGGTATTTTATTGTTGTTTCCTTTATTTTATTTTTTAGGTCTGTGAGTCATTGGCTTGAGGAGACAGCCTATTCTATCAATTTTTAACACTACTGGGGGAACTAATATTTCAAAAAATGGTGGAAATTTTTAAGGAGATGAATCAAGTTAGTTATCAACTTTCGATAGAAACAAAGTTACAAAATCGTAAACTATTATTAACATGATTGACAAAGTATATAAAGTACATTAGCATGATGCTAGAAAATAAGATGCTCTAAGTAAATGCCAGATCTCTCCATTTTCTGAGGACCATTCTTAGAGAATAAATGCTGCAAAGAATTTCTTGGATAGAGAATGATTTTCCTTATACTAAAAAAAAGTACAGATGGTCCTCAATTTACAATGGTTCAACTTAGGATTTTTCGACTTTATGATAAGTTTATCAGGATATTAAAAGCATTTTCAATTTACAATATTTTTGACTTATGATGGATTTATCAGGACGTAGCCTCATCGTAGGTCAAGTAACATCTGTACTATCAAAGGGAGAACTTATTTTATTCAATCCAATCATATTCTAAACATATGCTCCATTGGTAAAGTTGAAACACACTTGGTGCTCAAGAGATGATTACTAAATAATAAAAATGAAAAATGAGAAAACTAGATACTAAAGGATAAGAAAAAGAGATAGAGCCAAGCATAGAGTGTCAAGCATAGCTTCTTGAAAAAGAACTGATTCTAGAAGGTAACATAGGAGAAAACCTAGGTGATCTTGGGTTTGGCAAAGACATTTTATATGCAATACCAAAAGCATGACCCATGAAAGAAAAAATTGATTAGTTGGTCTTTATTAAGATTAAAAACTTCTGCTCTGTGAAAGATATTGTTCAGACAATGAAATGACAAGCCACAGACTGGGAAAAAATCTTTGCAAAACACCTATATGGGACTGGTATCCAAAATATCTGATGAATCCTTAAAACTCAACAATAAGAAAACAAATTACCCAATTAAAAATGAGTAAACGATCTGAACAGATACCTTATCAAAGAACATACATAGATGGCAAATAAATAGATGAAAAGATGTTCAACATCATGTCATTAGGGAAATGCAAATTAAAACAACAATGAGAAAAATTATACATCTATTAGAATGGCTAAAATCCAGTATGTCCTTTAATGGATAAACAAATGGTACATCCACAAAATAGAATATTATTCAGTGACAAAAAGGAACCAGCTCTTCTAGATTAAGAAAAAATAGAGAAAAATTAAATAACTATACTCAGAAATGAAAGAAATTTTTACCCATTGATCTTGTATCTTGCAACTTTGCTGAATTAGTTTATTATCTAGTAGTTTCTTAGTAGATTCTTTGGATTTTCTATATGTGTATAGGATCATATCATCTATGAACAGAGATTTTACTTTTTCCTTTCCAATTTGGATGCTGCTTTTTTATTTTTTAATCTAGTTGTTCTGGCTGGAATTTACATGTACAATGTTGAATAGCGGTGGTGAAAGCAGGCAACCATGTCTTATTCTGGATGTTAGGAGGAAAGCTTTCAATCTTTCATTATTGAGTGTGATGGTACCTCTAGGTTTTTCATAAATGTTCACTATCATGTTACATAAATTTCACCTTTTTTTTTTCTTTTTCTTTGGAGACGGGTCTCTCTGTCACCCAAGCAGGAGTGTAGTGGTACATTCATAGCTTACTGTAGCCTCAAACTACTGGGTTAAGCTATCCTCGTGTCTCAGCCTTTCCAGTAGCTAGAACTACAGGAGTGTGCCACCATGCCTGGCTAATTTATAATTTTTTTTTAGAGATGGGGTCTCATTATGTTGCCCAGGCTGGTTTTGAACTCCTGACCTCAATCAATCCTCCTGTCTTGGCCTCCGAAAGTTGCTAGATTACAGGCATAAGCTACTGTGCTGGCCTCATCTTCATTTTTGAAAGCTATTTTATATGCGTACAGAATGATAGATTGATATTCTTTTCCTTTTGATAACAGCCTATTTGGCCTCAGACTTCTGAAAAGGAGACTGCTGTAGTTCTACCTTTGTTCCTCTATATCATATGTTTTGTCTGGCTGCTTTTAAGATTTTCTTTTTTTCACTGGTTTTCAATATTTTGATGTATAGTGATATATCTTGGTTACATTTCTTTTGCTTGGGGTTTATTAACTTTCTTGAATCTATGCACTTATGACAGTGATTCTCAACTAGGGGCAACTTTTTTTGTCCCCCAACTCCCCTCAGGTCCCCCGATATTTGGTGTGTCTGGGGCAATTTTTGGTTGTCACACTATTGGCATCTAGTGAATAGAGATCAGAGGTGCTGCTAAATGTCCTACAATGCACAGGACAGCCCTCCACAATAAAGAATTTTTCAGCCCAGAATATCAATGGTACAAAGATTGAAAAATTCTGCATTATAGTTTTTATGAAATGTTTAAAATTTCAGCCATTATTTTTAAATGTTTTTCTGTCTTCTCTCTGTTCTTCCTTTTGGAACCCCAATTATATGCAAGCTACATTGCTTGATATTTTCCTATAGCTTACTGGAGTTCTATTCCTTTTTTTTTTTTTCAGTCTTTTTATGCTCTGTGCTTCACTTTGATTAGTTACACTTGTTACATCTTCAAGTTAACTGGTCTTTCCTTGTGCAATATCTTATCTGTTGTTAATCCCATCCAATATATTTTTCACTTCAGATAATATATTTTTTTCATCTCCAGAATTTCCATTTGGGTCTATTTGTATTTTCCATTTCTCTCACATATAATAGGTGTTTTCATGTCCTTTTCTGGTATTCATCATCTCTATCATTTCAACATCTACTTTTATTGACAGGTTTTTCTCCTGGGGCAGATTTTCCTATGGAGTTTTTTTTTTTTTTTTTTGGCATGCCTGAAAGACTTTTCCTATAAGCCAGGCATTGTAAATTTTACATTCCTGCTTGGATTTTGCTGTGTTCCTTTAAATATGTTGGGCTTTGTTCTGGCATGAGTTAAGTTGCTTGGAATCAGTCTGATCTTTTGGAGCCTCACTTTTAAGCAAGGCAGGGGCAAGGCAGCCTTTAATATAGGGCCTAATTTAGCCCCACTACTGAAGTGAAACCCTTCTGAGGCCTCTGAGACCCCATATATTGCAGTTTCTTTCCACTCTTGACTGGTAGGAAGCAAAATATTATAAGTCCTATGTCAGCTCCAGAAATTGTTTGCCTTACTGCATTCTTGTGTTTCTTTCCCCAGCCTATCTAAAGCAACTGCACAAATACACAAATTGGAATGGTCGTGTCAACTTTTTGTGGGAGACAAAAAAGATTATATCTTAGGCAGAAATAATATTTTAAAAATAATCTGCCATTATCCAACTGAATCCAGAATGAAGATGCCAAAGATGCATTAGTTTTCCTTTCCATCCACTTCATCTACCAAAGGGTGTAAACTTTGGCTACTTTAGCCCCTTGATTTCCACTCCAATGAAATGTCCCTCACAGAGGCTTAGAAGTTTATTCCATTTCTCTCTACTCAAAATCCATTAAGTCACTTTTATGTTGTATCAGCAGTTAAAGAAAGATATTCCAATTTGGCAGCCAATAGGATATAATTTGCCAATTCTTATATTGCCTCAAACTCTATTAGTTGAGACACTGAAATGCTCCTTCACTCAAAGGGGAAAAGATAAATTGTTGGCTGAATCTTTATCACTTGATTCAGACTCCACCTTGGTCAGTTTCAGAATCAAGATTTTAAAACTGTGTGAAACTTTCTTTTCTATCTGAAAAAGTAACCATTCCAGAGATTAATCGGCTAATATATACAAAGAAGAGGTTTCTTTCTTCTATGTGCTGCTTTTGAGATTCTGTTTTACTAGTTTGTTTGTTTAATTCATTTATAGTTCTAACAGTAAGACTCTGGGCAAATTAATTTACCTCTCTGCCTTGGTTTTCTCATATGTAAAAATGGGAATATAGTATCCATCTCATATTGTTGTTTTAAGGACTTAAAATACATATGTAAATAGAACAGTATCAGTGCAAAGTGGACATTATATAAGTGTTAGCTGATATATTATTCTTGGCCAAATAATGGACATTTCTCAAAGCAAAACTGTCTCAAAAACAGA